CTAGGTCTTTAATAATTATTGTCAGAATAATGGTATCATAACCCTTTGTATGCCTGTCTTATAAGCTCCAGCCTTTAGATGTCGGCTGTTTTAACCCGCTTAAACAAGCTTATAGCCGTATAATTGAGGATCTAATCCGGCGTCATATAACGCATGTTTTAAAGAAGGACTTTCTTACAGCGTTTTGTGAAGCACATAATGCTCCTATAAAGCCAGGAAACATTCGAGAGGTTTCAGTGCTACTATGCTTGTTCTTTTTGACCCAGAAAGTGTCATTTTAAAGCTGGATACAGTCACTGTCGTACAAACACAGTTGGCAGACGCCAATCTGCCACCCACTGTTTGGACCTCGAAGACGCCTATCACTATTAGAGAAGCGGTAAATTAATCAATTTTTATTCAAACTGATTTAGAAACCACAAAAGAAGCTCACCTATATTAATAATTGATGCGTTGAGCTCGTTTTTAAAGGCTACACACAGTCTTATACACAAGGTCGCTTTGGTTGATTTCCAGGTCTGCAAGCTAGAGGAGGCCAATCACTTATTAAATAAATGCCAAAGAACAAAAAACAAATATCTAATAAAAGGAGGAATACTTTCTGTTAAAGATGCAGTAAATCTTTAGGTTACAAAGAATAATACTGAGCTAGCAAGACAGGAAATGAGTGAAGGTAGTCATCATCCAAGGAGGGCAGCAGCGCATGAGCAACGTTGTGGCGTTTAAGGCACACTGGCCATAATGCACAAACTTATATAATAAATATAGAAACGTCTGAAGAAGAGGAATCCAATTAATTAGATTGAATTCAATACGTTGTGATTAAGTTATTTGATATATTGGTTAGAAGGTGTGTAAAAGTGTCTCGCTCACTTGTGTGTCCCGTTCGTTTGTGACCTACTTTATATTCTATTAAATATCGTTAGCTTTTTATATATCATTAACTTTTAATAATAAAATTTAATTACTTTTAGCTATATTTATAATTATTCATAGCTATACGTTATCGTTTAAAGTTATAACAAGAATAATAATAATTTAAAAAAAAATGTTTTATACATTGAAGTAATAATAATGATAAAAATAAAAATAAAAATAATAGCTTTATCACGCTTAGTTTAAAGCGTTTCTAAGCTTTGATTTTTAAAAAGAGGTTTAAAATAATAAGGTTAATAATTAAAGTAGTAAGATTATAAACTTTTTATATAATTAAAAAAATTACGTAGTTCTAAGGGAAAAAAGCGGTTTTAAAAGCTTAGAAAACTATAACTTTATTTTTAATAAAGCTATTATAAACCTAAAGGTTTAACGGTTGTAACATACTTTAATATACTGTATTTTTATTTATAAATAAAATAAAAATATCATTTATTTATTTATTTCTTCATTAATAAATAAAATGACGTTTAAATGAAATACAAGTGCTTATTAATAACGGGAGCGTTTTCTTAATATACGTTGACTTAATAAATAAAATAGAAAATAATTATAACCTTTATGATACGCTTTTCAAATATAAGTTAGTTTTGAAATATTTGTTATTGATAAAAAGTCCTATAAAACTATTATATTTAAAAGAGATTATTTTTTAAAATAATAACAAAACTTTTATAACTTTATTAATTTTATTGTAAGTAGTTTCGTTGTTTTTTAAAATAATAATTTCGTTAAAAAAGTTTATAATAATAGTAAATTTTTAAGAATAGTAATTGTGACGGCCTGCACAGACCTTCTCACATGACAAGTGGATACTTCCTAATAGGGGAAGGATCTGACCAGAGGATCCTCTTAAAGGGGCAACCTCCCACTGTACCTATCTCTCTGTCTCTTTCTTTCCTCTCTAGTCTTGATATTCTCGTCAATAGAGTAATTGCTGCTTGCTGCCGGCCATGTCCCAGCTCCTCAGTACGCTCGCCGTGACAGTAATTTCGTTAAAAAAACTTTCTATAATAATAACTTTATTAAAAGAGTTTTTTTTATAGTAAGAATGTTTCGAGGCAGGGTTGATATCATGTACAGCCAGGTCTGTGGCATATAAAGGCCACCGTTCATTTTTCGTTGCTTTCTTTTGTCTTCCTGGACAGTCACTCCTCTCTTATAACACCTATAATTGAGCGATCAGTTCACACAGACGTCGTATTATCTTTATATGATACACCCTTCAAATTTACTGAGCGGCTTTGCTGATGGCTTTCTCTCCCCATTCTTATATCCATTATATAAGCAGCCCCATTATGGGTATTGTTGCTGTCCCCTACTTAATAACCTTATTAAAAAAGTCTTTTTCAATAGTAATAACCTCGTTAAAAGGTTTTTTTAATAGTAACTTTCTTTATAAGCTCTTATACTTGCTGCCGTTAATAACGTATAATAACGGCTTTTTTAATAAAACTCTTTGTTTAGTCAAACCTTTTTTAAAAAGAAGCCTTTTTAATAATAATAACTTTTATCGTCAATTTTAAGCTTATTTAAACGTTATTAAACGTAATAATATTCTAAACTCTTCATTAACGGATTTATTGATCGTTATTTATATAAATAAAAATCGCGTGCAATTAAAAAAAAGCGAAATAATTAACTTTTTACTCGTAATATTAGTCAGAATTATTTAGCAATAAAAAAGTTAATAACCTTATTATTAAACCATTTATTAATTTATTATTACATTATATAAGAATAAAGATATTATAATATAATATACGTCCTTTAAAGGTTTAAAAAATTGATAACATTTATAATATTAAAAGTTAAAAGCTTTTAATTACGCTTAAAGGTATTTAAAGCTGTATAAATATTAAAATATATTATTAACAAAGGTATTAATTAACTAACAACGGCGTAGGTGACAACGTATATAACAGCTTAGTTTACAAAAGATAATTTATCTATCGGCCGCGACATTATTTCTATGTATGTGTTGGATTAAAGGTACGCCTAGAAGGCACCTTGATAGGTAGACAACGGAACCTAGTTGTTCCGTCCCGATCCGGTCCCCTCTGGCACAAAACTGCCACGGTCGCACAAGGACACTCTAGACAGGGAGAATACACACACTCACTCTGACAATTGGCTCAAATCTGACAGTATGTGTGTGGGCAAAAAACGATGTGGGGCTGGACATCTCGATTGTTAAAGGCAATAGCAATGAAATCTCCAGAGCACGGCACTTCCACTCAGATCGCGTGAGGTATTTCGAAGGCAGCCGCGGCGACACGGGACATCGTGAATCCGTCAGTCCGTCAGTCCGTTAGGGCGTGGATATGGATGCGTGTGAGACAGCTTCCGCACAAGGCGGAAAGGGGTCAATGATGACGAACACCTGACCCGGCCGTCCAAGCCTCATTTTGATAGGTCCCCTGGAGCACTTGCTAGTTGCGGGCGGTTAACCGGGTCAGGGAAATGAGGCTGAAGATTCCTGTATTCCTACTGGATCGTGAACAACATGACCGAGTGATGAAGGGTGGGGCCTTATTACTGTTATTAGCCAGAGAGGGGCGGCGAGGGGCGGCGAGGGGCGGCGAAGAAGAGCAAGGGACGGGAATGGAGGACTGACGGGAATTGTCACAGATGAACTTCAACCCACTGGCAGCATCCTCATCACTGATAGGTGACGTGACCAGAGTGATACTGCAATTTTCGAATGATCGAACCGCCCACCAATTTCCAATGCTCCCAATGCCCAGTGGTACATCTGAAACTACACAGCCTACTGGAGAGTCTCTGGCTTCACCCCACATTGAGTTGTTTCGTGTTTCGGTCAGATGGTCGGTCTCCCAAACGTCATGGCTCGCTCGAAGAGGATCTACGGGTTGGAGAGTGACCCAGGCTCATCAGCTTCACTGTTTGAACGGTGATCCAAAATTCCGACTCGCTGTCATGCGTCACGGGAACCTTATTTTCGCACAGACTGCTCCTGTGCATAGGTTGCGACACGGAATCTCGGGCGTTGTGCCTCTCATACAGTCATAATGGACGGGGGGACTTGGTATCAGCTGTTTCTAGGTATGTTGGCGAGCTGAGGTATCTTCAAACGACGTGGGTGACTTGGTAATTCGATCTTTCGAGAGAGGCCAAGTCGTTCTGCCCGACATAATGGAGCGTGGAGTTGATGCCCAAACCTCTTGTTCCTCCAGGACCTCCTGTTCACCCAGGACCAGGAGACGGGAACAAACATGGCACGGGCAGATGGAGACAGTTTCCCCTCGTCCTGGACTCCTGGCATCCTGCAGCTAGCCCAATAGCCTGTGGTACCCCGCGGGGAATCGGCGAATGAAAAACCCCAACGACCCCTCCAGACCTTCACCGTTGCATCGTTCAGGGTCCTTGGCGGGGCAGCGTCGGTGCTGCAAAGGGCATCGTGAGTCTGTCTGTCGCCAGTCCGCCAGTCGCATACATGCAAGGCGACACACCGTCTTTCGTGTCTCCATTGGTAGGCGCTTCTGCAGGTGCTACTACTGTTGGTACTACTGCTACTGCTACATCGTGGAACCTTGGAACCAATACACGGCGCAGGTGTCCGATATGTGCTGTCAGTCGGTAACGTCGGCCGGTTGGATTCCGACCTCGGGAGTTCATATCTATGGACACACGTAGTGCCCCGAGGGATTCTGCAGGCTATAAAACTGATGTTCGTGTGCCTTTGGTCTCCTCTCGCCTTCAGCCTCTGTAAACTTCCTCAAGATTCAGACTCCGTCGGATTAATCACAATACACACAAGCAAGCTTCTCCAACTCATTCACCTAAACTTCTCATAAGTCGATCGCGCTTCCGGGTCGCGGTCACCCCAAACCATCAAGACGTTTTCTAACCTCCTCAACTCGTATGTTTACTCGGGAAGATGTGACACGATGACCAGCTGACACCTCCGTAGGGTCCATCACCCGTACGCAGGAGCCCGTTGCTCTTCCCCAGGAGGTGCAGCGGACTCGCCCTTTATTCGATAAAGGGTCAATAGAGCATCAAACTACAAGCTACAGACCCGTCAACGAACAACCTACACCATGGCGCCGCACGCCGAGGTAGACTCGGGCTCTGCGTATGGGGATGGACCTACCAATGGCAATAACTCGACCACCCCCACTACTAATGACAGCACCTTCACCGTGAACTCGCCCAACGTGACCTACACTAACAATGAGATCCTGTCCAAGTACACCTACCGAACCACCAGCGTGGCACAGGATCCCAATGGCAAGTACGTGGCCACGCCCCAAGAGACTCTGTATGACTTCAAGGTCGACCGCAAGGTGCCCAAGACCGGCATGATGTTGGTGGGATGGGGTGGCAACAACGGCACCACCGTCACCGCCGGTATCATCGCCAACCGACGTGGCTTGGTCTGGGAGACTCGTGAGGGACCTCGTACTGCCAACTACTACGGGTCTGTGGTCATGGGCTCGACCATGAAGCTGGGAACCGAACCCAAGACCATGAAGGAAGTCAACATCCCCTTTCATGACGTCCTGCCCATGGTCCACCCCAACGACCTCGTCATCGGCGGATGGGATATCAGCGGCATGAACCTCGCCGAGGCCATGAACCGTGCTGCCGTCCTGGAGCCCACGCTGAAGGAACAAGTCAAGAAGGAAATGACACAGATGGTTCCGCTTCCGAGCATCTACTATCCTGACTTTATTGCCGCCAACCAAGAGGACAGAGCTGATAACCTCATCGATGGGAGTAAGGCCTGCGTGGCCCACGTTGAGAAGATTCGACAGGACATTCGGTATGTTGAGCTCGGGTTTGTGATTCGCACTCTCGGTTACTCTTGCTGACTCGTGCGTATGTAGTGATTTCAAGTCGCAGAACAACGTAGACAAAGTCATTGTTCAGTGGACGGCCAACACGGAACGCTATGCTGACCTTGTCCCTGGGGTGAACGACACCGCAGACAACTTGCTCAAGGCCATCGAAAAAGGCCACGAAGAGGTGTCCCCGTCAACCGTCTTCGCAGTAGCCTGCATCCTGGAGGACGCACCCTTCATCAACGGGTCGCCTCAGAACACCTTCGTCCCCGGCGCCATCGAACTGGCCGAGAAGCACGGCGCCTTCATTGGCGGCGACGACTTCAAGTCGGGCCAGACCAAGATGAAGTCGGCCCTGGTCGACTTTCTGATCAGCGCCGGCATCAAGCTTACCTCCATCGCCAGCTACAACCACCTGGGTAACAACGATGGCAAGAACTTGAGCTCCCAGAGGCAGTTCCGGTCCAAGGAGATCTCCAAGTCCAGCGTGGTTGACGACATGGTCGAGGCCAATAATGTTCTCTATAAGCCAGGCGAACATCCGGATCACACCGTAGTCATCAAGTACATGCCGGCCGTCGGCGACAACAAGCGCGCCCTAGACGAGTACTACGCCGAGATCTTCATGGGCGGTCACCAAACCATCTCGTAAGTTATCACAGCACACAAACTGTCGTTCCCTCTTGACTGCTAGCTGTACATCACCATGTTGTACTGACCAAAGCCTTCCACAGCATCTTCAACGTCTGCGAGGACTCCCTCCTAGCCTCTCCGCTCATCATCGACCTCGTGCTGCTCGCCGAGATGATGACGCGCATCCAGTGGCGGGCGCGCGCAAACTCAGCCGAAGCCGAGAGCGCCGAATTCAAGGGCTTCCACAGCGTCCTGAGCATCCTCAGCTACATGCTCAAGGCGCCGCTGACGCCGCCCGGCACGCCCGTCATCAACTCGCTCGCCAAGCAGCGCGCCGCGCTGACCAACATCTTCCGCGCCTGCGTCGGCCTCGAGCCCGAGTCCGACATGACGCTCGAGCACAAGCTGTTCTAGCTTCAGCTCAGAACGAAGGGAGGTGAAGTGAATGGGACACGGCAAGAGGGATGGGCTTGGGGAAGAGGCTCGCTCGGTCGTGGGGTTCCCTTCTTGATGTGGTTTTTTCCTTTGGTTGCGACACCAAACTTGCCCCGTCGCTCTTTAGTCGCTTGTTCTGCTTTGGCTCTGTGTTGCTCTACGCACACCTTACCTTTCACCGCTGCTGCTCAGCTTTACTCAACGCAGTTCGCTTATCCGTGGGACTTCAACATCCCAGGTATTTCAAAAAGAAAACCCATATATGGGTAAAGTTAATTAACCATTCATCGCAACATCATGCTGCCTTGCTGTCTTTTATTTCGCCCTGTTTATGTACCACGTGATGTCCGTCCCGCACATACACTGAACCCTCCCAAGTCTCCGTACGAGCCATCTTAGATGAATTCTACATCACAAGTGGGAACTTGGAAATACTGGAATAAGCAGACAGGAATAATAAGCAGCTCATAGGTATAAAGTCGTTTTCGATGCTTATTCTAGCATGCTTATTCCACTTATAATGAACTCACTTTTAATTTGGTGGATGAGGAGTGTACGGAGCTTATGAGGGTTCAGTGTAGGTGAGAATGATGTTCATAAATCCAAGATATCCCACACGCCATCGAAATGTTTTCCCATCCAGCGCCATGCCATGCAATACAATGCCCGAATGAACAAAGCAACCCCTCAACCGAACCCTATATGCACAGATAGAATTACCATCTCCCATACCGACAGCCAATACACTCCGTCAGGGGCATCTCTCGTTCCCGTCCCTGCATCCATGCATCCATGCCACCCGCCCGTACATCCACCGACCCACATCGCTCACAACCAAGTCCGACTAGAACTCAGCCGCTTATAGCTACTGCGATACGTGCCATCGGCGAGGAGCTCCGTGCCACTATTGAACGTCTGACTACTGGGCATCCTATTCCGCCTCCCAGTACGCCTCCCATTGTATCCCCCTTCCACATCCACATTATTCCCAAACCCCCCTTCCACATTCAGCCCGTTATTCTTGCCCGCAAACCGATCGGCCGCTTCTTCAAAAAAATAGTGGTTCGACCCGGACGCATAGCCGACGCGGAACGGCACGACCATCTCCAGCGCGTCCGGCCCGTGGCCGCACGACCCGGCCAGCGCGCGCGACGGCGGCGAGTTGATGGCGAGCGCGAACAGCTTCTGGGGTTCCGTGTAGTCCGTCACCAGGCCGCCGGCGCGGGAGTCGTCTGCGTTGGTGGTTTGGTGGCGTTCTCCTCCGAGGGGGTGATGGTTGCCTTTAAGCCCGTTCCGGTTATTGTTGTTATGATTACGACTACTACCACGACTGCCGCCTGTGAAGCAGCACCCGCCGCCCCCGGAGGCGAGGTAGGCCAGACAAAGCACGTTCAGCAGGAACACGCCGGCCAGCACGGGGTAGAAAACGCCCTGCCAGCCCGCCGAGTGCGCGCTGGCGTACTGCTGCGTGCGCACGTGCGCGCGGAAGGTCTCGTACACGCCGGGGTCGAGCTGCATGACGTCGCCGTGCGGCCACTTGGCGCGGTACGTGGTCTGCAGCGACCCGGACACGATACTACTAGACGCGAGCACGGCGAGCGCCTCGGCCATGCTGGGGAGCAGCGGGTCGAGGCGTGGGCTGTTGAGGATCAGGTCCGTCAGGATGCGCGCGTTGCTGGCGTTGCTGTTCTCGGTGCCCGCGTTGAGGTTGATGCTGAGCGCCCAGAGCTGGGCCACGTTCTTCCAGTCGCCGGAGGCTTCGAGCGGGGACTGGGCGGCGGAGGGGTCGGTCAGCGCGTACGAGTCTGGGTCGCTGGCGTCTTCGCAGTGCGCCTTCATCTTGCCGCCGGATATGCCCGAGATGTCGAAGTGCGTGGAGCACTTGGGCGTCACCCAGGACCGCAGCTCGCAGAGCGAGTAGTCGTCGGTCGCGGTCGTGTTGGCTTTCGAGAGCAGGTAGATTGCGTCGCCCATGTAGACGGTCGCGTTGGCGATCATGTTGTAGTCGATCGGGTACTGTGCACGCAGAGGTCAGTATGTTGATTGTTTGTTGTGGTGGAGGACTGGTAGAGGTTGGAGCAGCGGTGTCGTCATGGAAAGAGACATGGGATGGCACGATAGGACGTACGAGTTGAAAGACAGGCGGCCGACGTCCATACTTCTCGCCCCAGCGAAACACATCGTCGACCGCGGTGCCGTTGAGCCACTCCGTATCCGCCACCACCGGCACGTCCTCGTACCAGTCGTCGGCGCCCCTCTGCTGGCCGGGGATCTCCGTGTCGTCGTTGCGCGCGTCCGGCCACGTCGTGTAGACCAGCGGCGCCAGCTCGTCGGCGTTCATGTTGACGCACATGACGTTGACCGTGGGCGACACGACGCTGGCGAGGATCGAGTACTCGCCCACGCCGTTCAGGTCGTTCGGCTGCAGGATGCCGTTCTTGGAGTCGGTGGCGGCCGCGTAGACGCCCGGGTGCGGCATTGCCAGCGTCACGTTGTTGATGACGCGGTCGTGCGCGGCGAAGTTCGCGGCCGGGTCGCTGTACTCCGCCTCGATCCATGAGGATTCTAGGGTGGTGTTGTCGAAGAGGCTGTGCTTGCCCGTCGGCCGCTTGCTGATCTCATCCATTGTCGAGTTGCCGTTTGAGTGAATGGCCTCCCATTCGGTCCTGGGGTTGTGATATTAGCTACGTTGTCCCTCATCAAGCTGGCATGCTGATGTTACGGTCCAAACGTACATGAAAGCAATGAGGTTATGATAAGCTGGAAGACCATTAGCTATGAAACGAAAGACATTGAGCGTAACCAACGACTGAGAAAGCCTCGGATCCAAGGGAACTTACATTGGCCGGAGTATTGCACACCAAGACAGGACTCGGCAGAATATGGCAGGTCGAGCTTCGTGTCAATCGGTGTTTTACAAGTGTCGCTAATGAAATAAGGATTGGCATAAGATGCTCTCACTAGCCCTTGCAGTTCCTGCGAGTCCCACGATCCCCATTTGAGCTTCGGACTGACCATGGCATCCGAGGCCGTGGTGTAGAACAGAGCACACAGGGTGGCTATCAAGGTCAAGACGCCCATAACCGACGTGGCACCATGGGGTATGTTTTCCCAGTTCGTGATCATGGATCCTGGTTGCTACGAGGCCATCATGTTAATAAGTATCGTGAGAAAGGAGCAGTTCAATAACTCACGATGACCCAGTTTCTCATGGTCAATTCTGCCAGGGTTACGCCCCGAGATTTCTTGATGAATGCCCTTCTCGTAATGACCTGGCCGAGGACTGCCACGAAGACGGTGACGAAGGACAACTCGATAGTCTTGGCGGCTAGGGTGCAGAGCAATGTCGCCGTCGAGGGTGCAAGCTGCCAATGAGCGCCTGATGATATACCCTGGCCATATCGCGGTTGGTAAATAGAAGTAACGAGCCAGACGCCCGAGAGACCGGTCGAATATATAGACGAAATCATCAGCGTGACGTATAACCAACTCCAGCGCTTGATATGAACATCTCTCCTCGAATGACAGTCCACGGGAGGTTGGGCTGTATTTGGTCAGTTCCGCAAGCCACTCATAGGAGGGGGACCGGCCCGATCAGGTCATACCATATCGTATGGAGAGGTCATCGTTGTCTTCCTCTTCGCTGCTCCGGTCGTCTGTCGAGGGTTGAAGCGTGTCTACCGAAGTCATGGGATACGACTCGGCGCGGGAATGCGGCCTTGGATCCGGCGCATCTCTCGCATCATCAGCAACTCCCCCCTTCTCCCGCCGCGGTGTTAGGGATCTTTTTAGCATCTCGCGGAACTTGGTCTGCCGTGGAGCTGGCGGCGCAGCGCTGGAAGCGGGCATCATAGGCAGGCTTGTGTTCGACGGGGCCGAGACAATGACCTGTGGTGTCGTCCACGAGCGATGGGCCGGCGGTGATAAGGGTGAGACTATCTTAACAGGACCGGCCGTGTGAACGACCTCGGACACTCGTTTTACTGACGTCGGACTTACAGCGTCGCCTATGCGCGACGTGCCGGCCTCGAACATTTTCATTGCTCCTATTGCTGAGATAGTCGTGTTGCTGGAATCGGAGGACTCCCCGTCATCGTAGTCCTCATCTATCTGGTCGTCACTGCGCCAAGGCGAGAAGGTTGAGGGCAGCAAATAAGGAGCTCCGTCGTAAATTCGGGAATGACTGGTCTTCCGTGTGTCGTCGGCCATCTTTCAGGTCTGTGCTGGTATGCTGTTCGCTCTGACGCGTTTCGAGGTGCCTGGTTACGATTCGCGCATGAGAAGCTGTGTCTTGAGTAGTGATTGAGAGCACGGGCTATGAAGTGAGGAAGTCAATTCACCCGGACTCAATCGATTCTTCCCACCAACAGAGATCGACTGGACAAACGGAATTGAGGGGAAACGGAATTGAGAAAATCAATGCCTGCAAGTGGTGAGATGCAGTTGGTTGACAGTTGCAGGTAGGATACGGGAGAAAGTTGCTGACAAGGGGGCAGAGCAGACACAGCTGGGATGTAGCTTGACAGGCTTGACGATCGTTATTGTTTGTAGCTACTTGGCACGGCCGAGCGACGGACGAAGATGTCACGAGTGATGCCACGGGTGGTCAATTGGCGGAGTAAAAGCAAAGATACTCCCTTGCGCCGTTTAGCTGTTTGTCTCTCAATTCATACGTCGCACGGTTGCTTTTCCCGGTTTGAACGTCACAAGTAGAGTGTCGCTGTCGCACGAAGTGTCCTGACGGACAAACTGCATGACCCACCAAAGTCCAGCTCGTGGGCAGGCAACCACATTCGCACCTGTAAGCTGTCGAACAGGAAACATTACTGTATCCATAAAGGCCCTGGACATGGAAGAGCTGGCATGGCTGGGAAGGCGAAAGTCCATCCTTCATCGTTGCATTGCCACTGGGAATGATTCTGCCCCTGTTGTACCCCCCAGCCCCCCGGCGTCTGCGCCGTAGTCTCCATGCTCTAGCGGCATCTAGCACCCGCTAACGACTCCAGCCTCATTCATTAGTTCTAAAAACAGAACACCCCCCAACATTCCATGTCCAGGACCCAGTGTACTTATTTGATCCAGGTCGCTGGCTTCGAGATGAGATCCATGTCACCAAATAATATATTATTGCAATGGCAACTGCCAGCAGGCAGACACGAACCTTAGACGGTGAGTTAGACGGCATGTGTCCTTTGACGGAGTTACTGTTGTAGGTGATATGATCTGGACACCGTGCGGTCGGGTGGTCGCATACTTCTGGTAATACATGTCAAATCCGGTTCGCTACCTACGTTATGTTCGTGACGCTCTGCAGGATGGCGCGGGCTCTTGCAGATGGCCAGCACGAATTCATCATTCATCATGGCAGACACGAAGCAGCCACAATCTATCGCATATCCAAGGGCCAACAAGGTGAGGGCGCACAGGCAACAGATCATCATGCATGGAGATAGAAGCCGGCCAGCCTCATAGGTATCACTGATCAGGCGTAAACATCCCGCCATGCCACCCGTACGCCCGGTGAAGGCGCCTCCCCATCCGCCTAGCCACGGCGAAGGGGATCTTGCTGCTGGGGTGTGGCTCGTGCATCTGGATCCCGCGCTCCACGTCCAGCTTCGTCGGCTGGAAGTGCCAGGCCGAACCGTACCATTTCTCGGCCGTGAACCCCGTCGCGTTCATGGCGTGCAGGAAGTCGACCCAGGGCGTCTCGCCCGGCTGCTGCGACGACGCCGTCGGGACGAAGAATAGCGTGTTGAAGATCTTGAGCGCTCGCTGGTCGACCTGTAGGATGGTCTTCTCGGGCGGCGCGGATGTTGCTCCCTCGCCTGGTCCCCTCGTCTGCTCTTCCTGCTGGGCTGGAGCCCGTGCCGCAGCTTTTCCGCGCGTCTTGACCTTCTGTCGTTCAACGTGAACCTTGAAGTCGTTCTTGCTGAGCGTGTCAGAAGTCTGGCCCACATTGAGCCCCGAGAACGGCATCGGCAGCTCCTCTTCCACCCTGTGACTTTTCTGGCTCGATCCAGTCGGGCGTCCTCTGTACCTGCCTTGCGAACAAGACGGCCTTGTGCCGCGGTGAGAAGACCTTCCAGCCACTGCACCCGCAGTCGGGGTCCTCACAGGGAAGCCGGACGCTGTTCAGAGCCGATATCATAGGCCGCCAGAAGGCGTCCAGGCGCGCTTCGGCTTCCTGCATCGCCTGGACGTTCTTCCGAGAATATCGCTTGTTGAGCGGGTAATGGAATGCCCTGCGTGAGGGATTCGCGAGTTGCCCGAAGCGCGGCCATTTGTGGAAATTCTCAAACTTGTACAGGGTGATGGTAAACATAGAGTCGTCTTTATAGTCTTGCATGACTCTATCGTTGTAGACACCCATCTTAGACACGATGTCGATGCCGTCACTCCAGGGCTGGAAAAGTTTGATTTGTTCGAAGAACTCTACCTCCAACACTCAAAGTCAGGAGCTGAGTCCAAGCGGCCCTTGTCCGCGACGCGCGCGGCTGGCAGAAATTCATCAACCATGTTCGGGTGTTACTTACCATCGCTGAGAGGTCCGCAAGTTCTCGAGCCACCCATGGGGAAATTAACTTCTTGACTGACCCATCTCGTCGCATCAGCAGCTCCAGCTCGTCCGTCAAAGCCTTCATCTCGAACTTGCGATTCTTTTCATCAAACATAGTCGTGAAAATCCACATGAGCTCCTTTTCCGACTTGGACGGTGGAGATAGCTGGCTGGGCGGATGGTTGAAGCGGTTCCGCATTGGCGGCGATGTCGGAACACCGGTCCTCAACTTCCTCAACACAAACTTCAAGCTGGCGTAACCAGCAATGTTGCACTGGAGTAGAGACAACGTGATGGCCTCAGGTGCCGGCCGGTCGTAACGGAGCTCTGAAGCGTGGCTTTGCATAGCTTTGGCAGCCCTGGAGATGCGACTCAGCAAGATCCGCCAGTTCTCTATATACTCCAGCGCATCCGTTAGCACATTCTGGACAATGGGTGCCCAAAACTCAGCATCGCCGTCGGTAGGCTTGGTGGCTGTGTGCCACGTGTGGCTCTCGTCAGTGCAGGTGACGTTGTGCATAAACTTGTCCCATAGGTCCTCCTCACGGGTACAGATCACTGCTCGGTCCAGGAGTTAGTTACTGTTCATACGGCTTGCATTAGAAGCTCGATGCTCTGGGAGTAGCTTGATTCGCTAGGCATAGACTGACAAGGTCTGCTAGAAAACGAAGACTAGTGGAACACTTACCCAGGCTCTCTTGGCAGTGCTCACTCCAGTCGTAGAGAGTTTCGCTGAAATAGCCGGGATCTTCCCGTAGAGACCAAAGGTGGTCTTCAGCCTCCGCCAACCTGGCCGCAACCACGGCTTCCATTCGGGACAAGTCGAGATGACCAGGTACTCTGTATGGCGCCAGGGAGGACTGTATCAGCAAGGACTCCAGGGTAGACGCATCTGCCTCGTTCTCACCAAGAAGCTGCTCGGACGTGGCGGCCACAGGCGCCCTTGTAAGCATCTCGTCTTCGGAGACATCGTGAAGTATTTCCTTGCAGCACTGCACGAGAAAAGGATACAGCTTGGACTGGACAGCTAGAACCATCAAGCCAACGTCGAGGGTAAAACTTGTGATCGACATGAAGTGACTGAGTGAGCTCTCGTCACAGATCTCGCCATAGTCACCGGCGCTTTTGCGTCCTCGAAACAACATCCTCTGCTTGGGGCGGCAACCAAGAGTCAAGGCAGCTAGCGGGTGTATTCCCACAGGGAGCGCTGCGCGTGCGAATGCAGTATCAGTGGGAATGAACACATCCGGAAAATTGCGACCGCGAGCGCTGAGCATCAGCATCAGTGGCTCCGGCTTGGCGAGGTCCTCGAGGTTGATCGCGGGGCATAGGAATGGCCAGAAGTTTTCAATGCTCTTCATCTTCTTGTCGGAGGCCGCGAAGGGCCCGCGCGCCAACCGCCACACTACCAAGTCGGGCCTGTGGGATTCGGGCATGTCGGGCCACGCCTTAAGGAGGATGGCACGCCGCTTGGTCTTCGACTTCTGAGCCTACCTCTTCTGGATTGTAGGCCCCCACCGCTCGACGATGCCCTGCAGCTTTTGCCAGTCCGCGAAGATGCTGGATGCCCTGCGCCTAGCAAACCGACGGACGGCGTCGTCCATATTTGAAAAGTCCTCATTGACGGGGCCCAGGTCGTCCATGAACTCCTTGCAGTCGAACGGCACCTCATAGTGGCCTTTCTCATTTTTCCTGATCGCCGGCCCGGTTGCCATGTTGTTGAATGATCGCTGCACTGCGTACCGTAGTAGACACGTGTCTTCGAGGGACATCAGCCAGCAGCCCAGCCCATCGTTGCCACATATCCAGCCACGGCCCACAATCTACAACCCCTTGTGGCTGGGTTGGGTCATTATCGTGCCTTTTATGCTAGGTGGCCGGCGAGGGGATAGTCATTCCAGAGATTACAGATGGTATGCTGATGCTTCAGGAGTGCATATCCAGTCGGTGGTGCAGTCAATATCGCCCAAGTCCTTTCGGTACAGTCTGCAGAGGAGGATCGGGTCCAGTGACTGAACCCTCAGAAGTCTCCCCGTACACCTCGTAATCGAGGTTTGGTATGTTCATGGATCATCTTTCTTTATGGGATCATCACCATGAGATAAGCATAAAGCGTGGCATATTAGAGTATAACTGATATGCCAGGGTGCTTATTCTACTGTCTATATACTATCAGGGGGGACGCCCTCGAGGTGCGCGGACGCAGACTTATGGGCTGCGACTGTACCTAAAATGTCCCCTCGAGTGCTCGATAGCACTCAAGGAGCCAATGTTCCTTATTGCTCGTTCGTCGTATGATAACAAGTGAAGCAGAGAAGTTGGAGAAGGGCTGACGGCAAGCGATGCCAAGCAGGCAGCCTTCAACCGGCATTCAAATGAAACTCCATCAGGAGCAAACAAACTACCCCTCCTCATCACTAGACCCTTGGTCTGGGTCAGTGACAATCAATAAGCTTCCCAAGCCCAGTGCAGGTGAAACCACCTACCACAACCATCGCAACATTACCTGGTAATTCGCGACGGGCTTGTTGGATGGAGATGCCCACCACCATGATCCCAAGTAGTCCCATCGAGGTGGAGCGAACGCGCATAGGAGGGATAACCGAGATCCCGCGCATGGTCTCGGGACTGTGGCAGCTCGCGGGAGGCCACGACGAGAGCATTGACGTAGGAGGGGCTGTGAAGGAGATGGAATTCTTGATGGATGCGGGGCTTGACTGCTTCGACATGGCAGACCACTACGGGGATGCCGGTATGCCTGCAGGCGACCCTATCTATCTGTGCCTGCTTGCGCTGACTTGCGCCAGAACTCGTCGTCGGAAGGTTCCGCGCAACCTCCTCGATGAATATCACTGCTCTCACCAAGTGGTGCCCCCCTGAAAACGGCCTGAAGTCATTCGAGCAGGCCGAGCAGGCTGTCGACCGGGCGCTTCGGAGGATGGGACAAGATCGTATCACACTTATGCAATGTCCGTTGAACCGCCTCGAATTTTATCAGTTGCCCTTGGTGATGCTGGCTGATACATAAAGTTATGCGCAGACCATATCTGGGACTACTCAGATGACACGTATTGGCATAACCTCTCACATCTTCGTACGCTGCAGAGCCAGGGGAAGATACAGCATACCGGCCTCACGAACGTCGACGCGGCGCATCTCGAGTTGCTGATCGACTCCGGATTTACGATCGCAACGAACCAAGTGTCATGCTCAGTCATCGACCGACGTCTGGTACGCGGCAGGCTGGCTTCTGTATGCACTTCCAACGGGGTCGGTGTGCTCGCGTACGGCACACTTCTCGGGGGGTTCCTGAGTGAGAAGTGGCTTGGGAAGCCAGAGCCCGAGGACATGGACAGTCTCAACTGGAGTCTTCGGAAGTATCTTCGGTTCATCAGGGTGGCCGGCGGTTGGGACGCCTTTCAAGGCGTACTTGATGCGCTGTCCAACATTGCGCGCAGGCATGACGTGTCCATTGCTGCCGTTTCGACGAGATATGTGCTGGACATCCAGGCCGTGAGCGCCGTCATCGTCGGGTCCAGACTCTCTGCCGGTTCGTCCAAGTACACCGCAAGTAACCTGGCCGCGTTCTCCATCAAGTTGTCCGACGATGATTATGCCCTGATCAGAGAGGCCCAGCAAGCGCTGTCAGATATTCCGGGCGACTGTGGTGACGAGTATCGAAGACCGCCCTACCTGACTGCGGCCGGCGATCTGTCCCACCACGTCAGTAAGACCCAGAGCGAAGAGCTCGAAAAGACAGTGGCCGCCGGAACGAGGATTGAGTACTCTTCAGGTAGCGAGTGGGAGCCCATCGCTGTGAGTCCTACCCTCGCTCTTGTCTTCATTGATATCATCTGACGACTTCATTCTAGGGCTACTGCCGGGCGGTCCGCACTGGCGATACCATCTTCGTCTCCGGAACAACAGCCAATAGTCCTATCCCCGCAACATTGCGCGTTCTTGGTGGCAAGTCTGCTGGGAGCCAGACCGTTGCGATTCTCGACATCACCATTCGGGCTCTGAAGGCCCTTGGAGGCTCACTCAGCGACGTGGTGCGCACGCGAGTGATAATAAGAAACGAGACTGATTGCGAATCTGTCAGCAGGGCTCATGGATGGTTGTTTCAATGTGAGGGCATACGGCCGGCTAACACACTGCTTGTGGCTGGCTTGGTGGGCTCTGAGTACCTGGTTGAGATTGAGGTGGAAGCCCACCTAGGATGTACAGATGTGTTGCAGATTAAGTAGTGCCTGATGCGTATCTAACATATCGCACTACTTCACTCGGTCACTTAGCTTTCTCTTGCTTTAGCGTCTAGGTATATCATCAATGTCACGATCTGTTTCTGCGAGCACATGATTCCAGGTAACTTTGTTTCGCTTGACGACGTCACGCACACGACTGTCTGCCTTAAACTTGGGATTGCGGCTAGAGACCCGTGGGCTTTGTGGGCATACAGGGGCGGCATGGACGGGGTCAACTTCATTTGCTGCCCAGCTCTCAGATGAGAGCTGGAGCTACCCCCCACGTTAAATACAAAACAAACAAAACAGATGAGAGCTTGGAGCTTGTTTGCAACCACTGGATTCACGGACTGGGAAATCATGATCAGATGATTGCTGGTTCAGCTGATTTTCAGACCTACATAGGTATACAGCGACCAGTCGGACTAAGTGTTCCGTTTGGTCATAAGCAGGCGAGAAGGTCGAGAACATGCGGTCTTTCACATAAGAGGCCATTGCGAGACGCATCAAGGGTTTTGCCTTCCTCGGCAGTGTATCTTTCAAATAGAGCAAATATATCTAGATCAGTTTCGTCATCTTCGGTCACCTTCTCTGGCTCTGGTATCTTTTCTTCTCTCTCGGGTACCTGTGGACGTAGCATTGTCTCTCTCAGACCTAGATGCGTTCCCACGTAGAGTGCAACGCCGTCGACCATAGTATCGTTGATAGCTGCAACGCACTTTTCCATGTCCTCGGATGTTCTGAATACCGCCTAACCCTGATATCTTCGTCGGGTTCCCCCATATACCTTCCATTTTCTCAAGTGGAACCCACTCTGCTGGGCTCGTATACTTCAAGGAATGCCGCGAGCTTGTGGGGTGATCGTAGCATATCTGGTAGCGATGACAAGTTGTCTGCAGCTGCGATGATTACAGCGAGATTTCTGTGCTGGTATGGCGGCTTTTTGCGTGTCTCGTCAATTATCATGCGCTTCGTACTGTCTGCAACGTGTTTCTTGCGCCGCGGGTTTCTGCGTTTCTCGTCATCGATCATGTGCTTCTTGCTTACGCGACACTGCTCCGTGATTACGATCCGGATGTTCTCCTTTTTTTTGAGTGCGTGAAGAAGCGCCAGAGTCTTCACGGTGTCGTTTCCGGCGCTGTGGTAAATGTAGCGGCGGCGTCCCCCGTGATCGCCGGGGCCGTACCCAAACAGCCTCAGGGTCTTGCCTACTCCCAGCTCCTTCGTAATTGACCCCTCTGGACACAGTGAATGGAATATTGTCCGCAGATCGACGAGTGCCGTGAAGTGATCGGCCACGGCAGGGAAATCCTTCCGCATGGCGGCGAGGTCCAAATCGATGTGATACCCGACCAGCACAGGATTTTTTCGAGGTGGCCTTGCCTTGAAGTACGTACGAATGGTCCGACGAAGCGTCTCCTCGATCTCTGACGCTCTCACATGGCTTTCGGCCCCGAAGTTGAATTCTTCTCGCGGCCTCCTATATTTGGGTGGCATTTCTTCGATTTCGTTCATTCTGTGCTCACGACGGCGCGATATCGAGATCACATTCGAGCTCATCCCCGTGGTGGCGATCAACTGCTTAAGATTTATCCTGCCTGATAGCTTCTCTTGGTTAGAAGTCATTGCGGCTCCGTCCACACGGGCAAGGCCGACCTCGAAAGCCGTCGGTGTTTCCGGTTCTTTGTAAAGTGGGAACTCGCAATTGAAAGCGACAAGAATCGACCTCTCCCAGATAGCCTGCAGGCTCTGTAATGTCTTGATCTCACGGTGTTGCAATCGGTCGACGGGGTCGACGGATACTTCATTGTCGGGTTTCTCGCACGAACAACATGCGAGGCTCCTTAAGAAAGCTGATAGAGCATGGATCTTTTCGTGGGTACTGGTCGAGCGTGTGGTTGATCGCAAGAGCGGCGTAGCGTGTTGCAGCGTGATGTACCGGTAGAGCTCACAATCAAGGGAGGCAATGTAAGAAATGTATGGGTGTACTCGGCGGTTCAAACCATGTCATTAGGAGGGAGACTATACCAACTAGGTATATAGATTGACCAGTCTTTCGGAGATGGAAGCCGTCTGGGCGATTCGTGTGGGTTGTTCTAATTAACGTTGCGAAGAATTGTGTGTGGTTCGTGGAGAAAACCTTCGCGGGATTCCCGTGCGAGGATCCGGTGTTATATAGGGCTCTCGTAGCTGATCGGAGAAAGTTTCGCTAGACCCATTGGCGTTGAGCTCGAGGGAGAGGACGAACAGAGTTCAGCCATGAGCCCCCAAAGAAAAAAAAAAAAAAAAAAAAAACCTTCGCTAACTTGCTCAAGATTGCGGCAGAGCCTGGATTGGTTCCACACCATCGATACCATCTGAATTTGCTGGGTTGGGAACACGAAGTCTGAGCGTTTGAATGGCGTCACAGCCACTTCTCTCCACATGCAGCTTCCAAGAAAGTTTTTGGCCGTTGCGGTTTGCCCTACAGTCAAAACACCGCAGACTGATCTCTGGGCATCAAAAAGGAACCACCTCATGCCCACGGGAAATTAGATGATTCGCAAAGGGCATAGAAAATATACGACACTGGCGGGGTTCGAACCCGCCAACCCGAAGGCCCCAATTGTCGCGGTTCACCCGCCTCCCGCGCACTGAAGGAGGCCTCAACCCACAGCACTCGCAGTGTCTTTTGACTTGGTTTGTTGGAATGAGGGACCCTTAAGTTGAATGTTATGCCAAGGTCAACGCCGACATTCTAACGTAGGGAAGGTGGGTGAATATGGAAGGCCCGGCGTGCCTTCCTCCAAAGTGAGATATCACGGTATTGGTGGGACACAGCAAGAATTATGTAGGGCGACGGCTGGACAGGTTGCTTGTTCTTCCTCCTATCTTTACTTGGTTAGTTCGTTGGAATCAGCAGGACATCTTCCCATGATGTTCAGACCAGCTACGGCTTATGGGCATCGATTTATTGTTCATCGCTCAGGACGAAGCGCTTACTATTTGAACAAGCCGCGCTATACAAATAGGGGTCCAGCGGCAGTCAAAAGGTCGAGACTGGAAATTAAAGTTGGTGGCTGTACAAGATTGCTCGGGCAGGGCTGGAGTCTCCGGAGTCTCTGGTATCTTGTGCCTTCTGGCAGGGGCCCAGAATACTATGTTACGATGACTAGTATTCTGGATGCTCTGCTTGCTTGTCTAGAAGGATGGGAGATGGTCCCATCTCAGAGGCCACTTGAGTACTAGAATACACCACAAAGGTACCTGGTCCCTTGGGTAACAATCCCAGGCAACCGACATGATACCTGGCCAGCTGGATCCACAATCTTACCAGGTGTATGAACGTGATAGATGCCGGACCGTGTCGCTAGGTACTTTGCAGTTGAGATGGGTACTGGCAGACTACAGAGAGGATAGATAGTCTTCTAGCGACGTCAAGTCATTGCACTGGTACCCTGAGTTGGAACTCCCGGCCACGCATGCGGGCTCGGAGGAAAATTCGGGTAAAATGCGGACCTTATTTGGCAGACGTACCTATAGGTGCCCGTATACCGAAATGATTATTATATAAAAAAAACGAATCAAGTTTTGGTTCTGCCCAAGCATGGAGTCGAACCACGCACCTCCAGCCGTGCTATTGTCATCTAAGTCGACAGGCTGAAATGTCAACATATTGATGCAACCGGCTGTGCACGGCTTGGCGTCTTGCCGATATCCCACGAGGGCTTTTTTTCCTATGTTTTTTCCCCTAAATATGTTTCTCTATATCTACTTGAAGGATGTCGACAATGACACGAACTCGATAGACGGGTTATCTTGCAGGGAACCATTTTCTATTGCGAGGACGTGGAACGGCACTCAATGCAACGTTGAGTAAACAATGGGTTTTACTTCCCTCGGTTACGACAGACTTTGTCGTGATGGTGAGGACCTACCTCTCAAGCAGACAGCACCAGCACCGTACGGCCACGTCAGTCCTGCCAACAACAGACAGACCTCGCCAGAATTGCATACATACCACCGTCGCGTTCTCTGAAGCCGACATGCTGTCCAGTTCGTTGCATGATGAATTCGGTTTACAGCTTGAGGAACTGGCGGGAACATACCACTCAAGGCGTGAGCTCGGGTCAAGGTAACCGCGACCAAACCTCAGGTCTTCCACGCTTGTCACTTTCAACGTTCAGGTAGAACTTGGGTGCAGGTCCTATAATCCATCTCAGTTGCAATCCATGACCGAGCTTAAATCACAGGACATCAGTACATGAACGGAAGTCGATCCAAGCATCGGCTCTTCGGCCATTCCGTAAACTCGGTCAACGAATGTGGCATGTCATGAGGTTGCATAGGCAAATTTGGAATAGGAGTCTGAATCATCCAACTGCGAGTGCTATATGGTCGATAGATCAGATAGGTACACCAAGCCCCCAGAAGTCTTCATACATACACCCTTCAAAGATTTACTCAACAGGTAAGTCTTCGAGTGCTTTCATCTATGGAATAACCACAGTGGTATAAGCGTTGAGAATGGCTCAATAGAATGAAACTCCTCATTCGAGGGTGCTTATTCGGCTTTGGAAATTCAAATGACACATCGGTTGCGCGGACGGAGACATGTTGTGAGGGCTGTGTAGCACTAATTTATCACCAGCCCTGGATGTACCAACACTAAATACGGCAACTATAGAAGGGCATCGAGACCCAGCAACTCACGAGAATGGGGTCGTGAAATACCCCCCATAGACTCCATCGACATCCAGAGTCTCGAGCGATCCAACGTGGTGCACATGAACTATGCCCTCGCAGGCTTGTCGCTCCTTGCGCCTAATGTTATGGCGCTCCTCTGTTTCTCATGTTCGCAACTCGTCTCGATCCCCTGATGAACCCGGGGGTCATCGGGCCTGCCCATCTTCGCCAGATCATCGGCGGAGTATTTACGAGTACTGGGCAATTGCCACCTTCCCAAAACGTCAACCGCTATTCGACGAGAGGATTCTGATAATGGCAGTCTTGTGAAACCTCGACCTGAAACTTCTTGAACGTTTTGCTGAGGGAAAGAGTGCATCCACATACCCAAGTGGCTGAAACCTGCAGGTGAATCGTGGGGTATGCAGGGGGCGGAGGATTGCATAGCTGTTCGACGACATGTTCGAGAAGCTGAAGCGTCAAGACGATAGCAGTTTGGAACATAGCACACGCGTTGGGCTTATTATAAGCAGTGAGACGTTGCTTCCTGAGATGCACAACTTCTATGTGAATGGATATGTCTATTTCGGGAAAGTTTTTACACTTGAGCAAACAATTGCTCTGGGGTTCCAGCTTCCATGACGCTTGACTTGTCCACGCCGCGGAAGCTCCGGAAGATTCGTCGAACGCCATGGCTCGACAGCACTTCTCACGTCAGCCTCAATTATACCGTGTCTGACAATGGCTGCTAGAAGGGAACGAGGCGGTTCAGTAGTGGTTCAAGCAGAAGCTATACCTGGCCGCCTTGGATGACCGCCAAAGCCATTTTGCTGCTGCTGCTGATCAATCCCCTATTACCGATTATAAGGGGCAACGCTCTTGGGTAGAGGCTTCAACGAGGCAGTACCTCGGCACGTGGGCTGGCCATGCCCACCCGCCACGAAGCGGGCGATGGAGGATTATGCGACGAATGACGGTGAGGAAGCACAGCACGGGCAGTAGCGTCACCTCGGCTGATAAGGTTGCGACGAGTGCAGGGGAGGCGAGCGAATAGGGACACGGAGAGGTCACGCAGTAACATTGGCTTACCTAGGTACCCTTTCAGGATCATATAGTAGACCTCATTTCGATAGCCAGGTCCCACCAGATCGACACATGCAGGCCGCGCAGGCAATGAATGCTGCGTGATATAATTTCCCGGAACCTGGCGAGCGCGTTCCTCATCTACCGCTACCATCCGTCGAAACTGACGACATGGAGATCAGGGAGCCATGTAGGTTGGACGACCCACAAGGTGACCGGCCGCGTAGGATAATGCAACGTTCGACATGGCTGCGCCAGGTCACATCGTGCCAACTCTCGCCGACAGCACCTTGTTCAATCAAGTTTGAGACGGGTCGCATACCCAGACGGTAGCCACCGTCAGAGAAGCTACTAAGCTTAAAGCTGCATCATGGCCGATTGCCAATCAGACGCATAGTCCTTGTGGGCAACCCCGTATGTATACCCCGGGCTTGACTGCATGGGACTTATCTGCACCGCCCCTGCTTACGCTTTACCGTATACGTGCATATGCCGACAGGAATGGAGAGTGCCGCAGCAACCGTCGGATTGTTCGACAGGCCCGTCTCAGACTCTCTGCTCTGATAGCACAACATAGGGAGGCGCAGTCAGTCCCGCCTAAATTCATTATAGAGTTAGCCGAAAAGGAAGCATTGTCTTTCTCAGAGCAAGTGATATGTTTACTGCTCAGTATGACCAGCCCTACCTATCTGCCGGCATATAATGCGCAGCATTGACCACAACTTATAAGACTCCGCACGCTCCGGCAACTCGTTAAGCTCATCACTAGTCGCTCTAGCTTAATCCTTCGCGGCTTGGCTCCGAATCCTTCGCGGCCCTTCGCCGTCAGATAAGGATTGACGTGGAGGAAACACGGCCCGAATGGCACAGTTCAGAGACACCAGTCTGGAAATGAAACAGAATGGCTTCCAATCGCCCGGGGCGCCATAAGACGCAGCTAACGACGGCGTTGCAACTTGCTGGTAAAAGTACCAGTCCACCCACCCACGATTCATCATTCCACCAACGAGCCACGGCCAGCTCTCGGGATGCGGTCAGCAGACAATTGCCGCCTTTGGGACACCTCCCGGAGCTAGCAGAATCAATAGTCTGGCCTGTGTGGATGAGGTCTCACCCAGAGTACCTGTCATTGGCCGACAGACTACAGTACGCGAGCCAGAGACTCCCGCACGTGTCGTTCAACCTTACAAGGCGGCCTTGGGCTATCTGATGTCACGCACCGGTGGGTAGAACATGGGCTGAACTTTTTATAGGCATGCTGAAGTGAAACGTCTACCGGTACACCTTGGACGTGCTTCCCCGCATGTCACGGTCCGAAGGCAGACAGCCAGGACACCTTGACAAGTGTCTCGCCACTCTGCGCCCGGCAAGAATGACGATCTAAAGAGAGAGGATTGAATTGAGGATGTGATAAAAGGATGTGACAACTCGGTCTGCATTGCATCTGCCTTCACGCGATGAGATCCTCGACCTCCCAGTCAGCAGGATCCTCTCGAGCGGCGTGGTGGGAAGGCCATGGGGACGAAGGATTGACGACGAATCACCTTCGAGGAAGACAGTTTAGAATTCCTGCATCCATGTGGCACAGCACGGCTATATCCAGATACCGCCAGGCTGTAGCACACCGACCCTGTCGAGACCGTGTAGGGCCCGGGAGTGACAGCAGTGGCACAGCACAACGTCACCGCGCGGTCGAGACTGCGAAGGCGCCTCCCCCTTGTGCCCCGATCTGCATGACTCTACTTTTCTTCGCACACAAACAGGGGTCTACCCATCTCCGTAAGCCGGTAGACCTGCACCCGTCACTCCAGGACGCTGAAGGATTCCATACCTTAAACAATGGGGGTGCCATGAGGATTTCATGCCATTTTCGAACAGTACAAGTGTCCCGTCCCATGTCCCGTCCCATGTCGCTGCAGCTCATGACCGGTGTTGCCTGTCCGCATATAGTTCTGCTTATCGCTTCAAATGGGGCTGATGTATTTGTTCTAGGACACCGTCTGTGTCACCTCCATCTTCACCTTCACCTTCACCGTGAATCTCCAAGGTGTGTGAAGTCCGACAAGGCCGACCAAGGCTCGCACTCGAACATGGCACCACACGCGCCGGAGCCGACTCCCGCGATGCCCGCTGAGAATGGGGTTCACGTCTGGAGGACGGCGGTGGTGATGCCCATCATCAGCTTCTTCTTCGTGTCGGCGAGGTTCTATTCGCGGCGCTACATGTTGCATAGGCCATTTACCATTGACGATTGTATGCATCTTCCGACGGCGGCTTCGCTCTACGGGACAGCGCTAACACACAAGGACAGACGTCGTCGGGGTGACAATGCTCACTGTCATCGCACACGCCGTGCTGATGGCAAACGCCACGTACCACGGCATGGGATTACACATTTGGCAGTTCACGCCTGAGCTCAACTCGGAATACTACCTCTGGATCGGGATATCGTCACAATTCTACGTGCTTAGCTTGGCCGGCTTCAAGAGCGCTTTGATCCTGCTTTACATCCAGATATTCGGCGTGAACCGCAAGTTCAGGATAGCCTGCTACATCACGCTCTTCTACACCCTGGGCTATCTCTTCTGCAACCTCCTGACCGAGTTCCTCGGCTGCTGGCCCATCCAGAAGAAGTGGCATTCCGATCTGCCCGGCCACTGCATCAAGACGGTTTACTCCAACATCGCATACGGCGCCGGACACATGTCGAGCGATCTGATCATCGGCATCCTGCCCCTGACCATGGTGTGGAGGCTGCAGTTCCCCACGACGAAGCAGAAGATCGGACTGAGTCTCGCCCTCAGTAGCGGCCTCATGTAAGCACAGATGAACCGCCACCGGGGTCAAGAGGTATAGCTAACACGATGGCAGTGCCTGGGCAGTAGCATGTGTCCGCTGGGCCATCTCTACGTACAATCAGCTGACCTACGACCGGCCATGGTGGGCGGGCATCAGCTTCACCTTCTCGATCCTCGAAGTCAACACGGGCCTGATCTGCGCCTGCGTGGCGACCTTCAGTCCGCTCCTCCAGCACTGGACAGCGCGGGTCAAGAGCATCGCCAGTCGCGCGAGTCACAGCTGGCATACCACCCGGACTGAGAAAGCGTCGTGGGCGCATTCGAGCGCGTCGAAGACGATTGGGCAGAGGTCGACGGTGCCGAGAGATATACGCTCGCGGGACAACGACAGTCTTGAGGACGACGGCGCCAGCCAGGCGCCGATCAACACGCCGTCCTTCACGCCGTCCTCGATGGCGATGCCGACCTTCAGCCCAGTCACACCGCCGGACGAGATACCGCTTTGCGATCTGCAGGGATTACAGGCTCTTGCTGCTCACGATAGGGTATGAGGACACGTTTCACATATGACGGCAATACAGCAGTGATGCGATCGCGTCGGCACTACCCGACTCTGAACATGGATTGAAGCGCGGGTGAACCGCTGCTCAATCAAATGACGAAAAATGCCGCGCCGCGAGGAGAGTGAACCACCCTACCGCCACCTCGATGGATGACTCTCAGCAGGAGGGCCTCGGTGAGCCGCAGAATAAGCTCTGAAGACCTCGGTGAACCGCAGGATAAGTTCCAGACAAAGCGGCCTATTCACCGTGTCGCATGAGGAAGCGATCCGCAGCAGACCACGTTGGCATAAGCGCTGAGGTCAAGCATAAAGAGGGGGTTCATGGCTGCCTGGCGACATGAGTCGAGACGCAACGGACTGACCGACGTTGAACCCACGAAGCTTGCGGCGGGATTACCACAAGGATCCTGTTATTGGAACGGGTGCTTCCCGCGGGAACAGATGGGATCCATGTTCACTTCTTTGGTTTCTTGTAGGGCTTTTTTTTATTTTACAGATACCCCCACGGCAGGGATGGACCCTGGATTGTTATAGTACATGTAATTAGTGGACGACTTTAGACCACGTGTCTTGAGCCGATAATACATACATTGACTTCTTAAGTTGGACAAGCGAGAGCCAATGGCCATTAACTGCTGTATGTTGTGACAGCACCAGTGCGCCGGATCATCATCGCGTTCCAAAGCCATCCGACGCATGAGCTTTCGAGCATAGGACGTAGACGTAGACATGTGAGCACCGGATGCGCTCTACTCCCTGCCTCCTCCTACAGTAATAAGTCTGCCTCTACCACGCCCCCGACCGAGCACTTCGCTTCGAGTCCCTGAATCCATCCTTAGATCCTCATTCGGTACTGTACCCTTCCTCTCAACACACAAGTTCACACTCACCACCCCATGGCCCCATGGCCCCAACCGCCCCCCTCACGCGAACGGACTAGCAAAGCACTCAGCCGCCATCTCTTCGCCCTCGCCCCACCGAAACACCGTACTCCCATAGTGCACCCACCCCAACTTGCGATACAGCCTCATCGCGTCCAGCGCCCTCGGCACCAGCGCAAACATCACCAGCCTCTGCCCGCGCCCACGCGCCTCCTCCACCGCCGCCTCGATCAGCCGGCTCGCCGTGCCGCCCCCGCGGCCGTCGGGGTGCACGAACAGCCGGCCCAGCACGGCGATGTCGGTTTTGTCGTCGGGGTGCAGCTGCCACCACAGTTGTGCCGAGATGTCGGCTGTGCTGGCTTTTGTGAGGGTGATGTGTCCGACGATGCGCCTGCTGCTGCTGCCGTCGTCCTTTTCTTCTTCGAGCTCGGCGACCCAGGACACGTCGTCTGTCTGCAGGAAGGCGATTGGGTTGTCTACGCCCAGGACCGGGTAGCCGTTGAGAGCGTGGACGGCTTTGAGCGCGTCGGCGCAGCCGGGGAGGTCGGCGGGCGTGCGGGGGCGGATGGTCGTCGCCATGGGGGCTGGTTGCGCGGGTTGGGGGTCAGATCAAGGGGCTACTAGGAAGAGGACCCTACGCTTGCGCTGAGATGTGTTCAGCCGTCTTGAGTGTGAAAGGAAGTATCGTGGTGCGAAGTGAGACCCTTGATCTCGCTAACTTTAGGGGTCTAGGGGTCTTTGTCCGCCGATGTCGGCCGGGCCGTTCACCGGGGTGGTGGGTCCCGGATGAGTTCCAAACCCACCGACCCGCGATTGCACCATACCCCCGGAAACGCAGCCTGCCAAGGCAGCATAGGTGGTGATCCACTGGGTATGTTCGTGTTCTATTTCAGACCCTTTGATGTGGCTAAATACTTAGCTACCCGAGGGAGGGGCGGGAGGGGGAGGGGTGATGCTGCTATGGGAACTTTGGGAAGGATCCTGAATCCTAAGTACGTCAGATGCTTCTCGGCCTAGTCACGGCCACTCCGCATGATTCTGGGGCCATCTTCCGGGCACCGGTGACACGAATGTCAGAAGTATTATTAGTAGGTGACAGAAACACACTGAAGATAGATATCAGTCAGTTTAAATATGGTTTCTTGGAAGCTACTATGTACAAGATGTAACTATTCGGGGAATCGGATGTTCTCGCCTTTCGTCATCGTTGGATTGGCTACCCTGCTGACACCAAGAGACCAAGTGGCAACTAACTTTGAAGATATAAATATCCAGCCAACCTCGATCTGTCCCCCCTGGGGTCGTGGTATAAATATCCTAGTCGGAAGCCGGATGACGGACCCTCCCATGGGAAGAACCAAGGCAACGACGTCCGGCCCTGATCATGTGAACAACTCGGTGGCACTTTTGTCGCCAACAGCTTCCAGGGCGGTCAGAGATTTGAGAGAAATCGCCACTCTCTGATGATGGACAAGTCTCCATAGCAAATCCTTCACCCTCACCGTGCCGCGCCCAGAGCAGTGCCGCGCTAGTCAGCAAGTTCGCTAGGCACCTGTTGTTCACCATGAAGTTCTCCGCAATCCCACTTTTCGCGTCCCCGGTGTCCCCGTACCAGGCTTTGAGGTCGCCATGTCTTTTAGTTATCCGTCGCCGGCGCGACCCAACTGTTTAGCCTCCTAGACCATATGATTGTAACACTTGTTAAACATATGTATTGCTAAAATTCAAGATGCCACTCGTAAAGGCAAGACACCTAGGCGATTGTGACAGACTTGCAACACTGAGCAAGGCTGTACCTCTCGAATGTGAAGGTAATGGAGCTGATAGTAAGGAAGAAAAATGAGCGTTCGGATTTGAAACTACTTGAAGGAGAGATTTGAAACCGATAAAACATAAACGCCGTACCCAACGCCTGACCGAAAGTGAAGAAATAAACAACGCAAGACAGCCCCTAGAACGCCGCGACGGGTATCGCATAACCTGCGCCCAAAACGAAAGAAAGTAGGCAGAGTAGCCTGTAGCGCGCTCGCTCTAGGTTTTTCACCGCCATGCTGTTGCCATGAATTGTTGGTTGACAACGCCCTACCCGTTATCACCCTACTTGCGCTGCCTGCTTTGTAAAGTTTCCGGACCCGTCATATCATTCTGGAGTTTTGTCTTACGCTCGCGCATCCTTTTCCAGAACTCGGGGTCGAGCCCCTGCCCGTCCAAGAACTTTTCCAGGTCTGCCTTGTTGGAGGGGGCACTGGTCAACCCATAAGACGCCGCAAATGCCTTCCTGCTACCATCGATGTCGACGCTAGGTATTGAAGCGTCGGCGTCGAGACTGTTGGGGTCTACCGCGATGGCGGACTTCACGAACGCCATCGTGAAGTTGACCCAGTCCACGGGAGCTTCTCGATCCATGATCGGCGGCATCTGGCGGAACTCGATGGTCTTGAATTTGAGGCCGCTAAAGTTCCATTTGTAATTCTTGCGGTAAGGGTCGCCGCCTCTTCTTCCGATATTGAGACACACTAACTTAGCGAGGTCTTCGATGGTCTCTTGCTTTCTTATAAGTTTCCAGGATTATCTCATGTCATGAACATATTCCCCAGAAGAGTATACGACGTTGCTGGACGTCCACTCCTCGGCGCGTTTCCAGCCTCCGGGCCTGAACTTGTCCTTGTCTTTCCCAGTAGCCGGCAGCGCGACCATGAGATCGTCGATAGCGGGCTCGAAGTATATGGCAGCCATCGCGATGCGCTTGGCCTTGTCGAGAGGAATCTTCTCGTGAGGATCGAGCGAAAAGTGGATGTTGGTGCTGCAGCGCTTCCAATGGTCGCGGACATTGGATGCCTTGGGCTGGACGCTTGGTACATGAATGCAGCTTGTCTTTCCAGGTGTCTGAGTTTTCGTAGTCGAGGATTGGGGTCTTGAACTCTGCTGCGATGTACGGGCCTGGTGAATTTTAGACTAATCACCAAGAAGCAACCTAGCAGTGTGTCTTACTCTCCAATCTGTCATACCATGGGACGACTGGGTATATCCAATCGTCTTCCACGACATACCACTTGCTGTAGTCCAGGGGATCACCGGAAATGCCTCCTTTTCCTATTTCATCTCTCTCGCGGAGTATCTCGATGCCGAGGTCCGCGAAACCTTTCACAACGGGCGCTATGGCCTCGTCCCAGTGCTCCTTGTCAATCTTCTGTTTCTTCTTGGTCTGATCCGGGGATATTCTTCCTCTAGGCTCCTTTTTTATATCCTGGTTGAGTTTTCCTAACTCCTCCACGACTTGGGAATGTGCACCAGAGGGTTTTCGGACTCGAGGCCAAAGCGCATCTTGACGGTCGATAGGCGAGCACTGAGGAAAACTTCCTGATAGCCTTTGCGATTGCCCGCTGAATTCCGAGTCGTGGGTGGAAGTAGGGCTGAGGTATCGGGCAGGCTTGGAGCTGGGAGTTTATCGTCAAGATAGCTGTGGATTGCGGTCGCAGGGTCAGCTCTTGGTTTGAGGAATGATGAGGAGAGGAGGCCTGAATGCAAGAACATTATATATGTACGAGTCTCTGACTCTTCTCAGGCATCTACGGTCTTTGCACTTACCTCGATCCCGCCATCTCATGTTGGTGGAGACCAATGCCATTGCGTGTTGCGCTGCTTCAACAAAGAGCGCCCAGTTGTCATCGTGCAGGTTGGTAGCCAAGCGAAATATCCAAGGCGTTCGGCGACCTGTTCGATCGAATGATGTCTTTGGAAGCGAACGATGGAGGCCATGTTGGTGGAGTGAGGACTCGGCAAGACTAAGCATGAAAGAGAAATACGTATCAAGACGCCGCGGACGGCCGGCTTGCGCAAGAGGCCTTGACTTGCCAACGCCAACATCAGCGGGAGTGCGAAGGTCTCTGGGTTGGGCCGAAAACGATCATGTAGACCGTGCGCCATCGTCATCATAGAACAGTTCATGTTTTAGAGTGTATGTGACAAAGGAAGTATTCGGAAGTTGGCCATACTACTAAGATCTATACCTGCTGTTGGAAGCAATAGATTGATTGATTGATTGATTGATTGTATTTATCGTGGGTGCAGTCCCTCAACAGGGCAAACCACGCCTCCCAGAGCCATTGCATCGCAATGCGTTATGATTGAGTTATTTGATATGTTGGTTAAAAGGCTGGTAAAAAGTTGCCGTTCGCTTGTAATTGCCGCTCGTTTGTTATCTACGTTATTAATACACGCGTATTAATTAAGCGATGACAAGGTCGTAAATAGTGTTAATTAAATTTATAAAAAGGGGTTATTAACGTAAATTAAGTTGTTCAAAACCTTATATACATAAGAGGTGTAATACGTATAATACGGATATAATAGCAGTATAATAAAGGGTTTCAACTTGGAAGAGGTGCACGGGTCCGTATAATATAGTCGTATAATACAATACGTATCTAATGGCTTGCTATGCCTATCAATCGGAGCCCTACCATTGTTAGGTGATTAGCGCCCCAAGATTCATGTGACTCCAGCCGTACACGGAGTCTCCCCTGAGAGTAGCAATTTGATACTAAGTCCTGATTTCAGGAACAACGGTTCATCATGTATTGCATGGTCCCTTTCCTTGGGCAAGTCTATACTCCGCTCGGGACAGCATTAGAGGGTTATAGTCCATCCATTCTCGCCTTGTCCTCTCAGATGGTCTTAATCCTGAGTGGATGGATGTACGCCATCTGTCCGATGCAAGCCCTGACGAGGTTCAGTTTGGTCAACGGAAGATATAGTAGATATTAATCCCATAGCTGCAATGCTGTCAGGGCAATACTGACCGGCTACAAAACAGAAGGTAATACGACCGTGTTCTCCCCATAGTTTCCTAGTTCATGGGGTGAACCTGCCTGGTCTCTACGGTATTGTCTCAAGAATGGTGATTGTCTATGTTAGCCCACCTGCACACCGCAACTTGCCATTGACAACAGCAAATCATCACGGATTTGATGTTTTCTCCCTTTTTCGCCCGCCCACCGTCCCTTACGAAAAGGGGCAACGAGGGCTCATCCCGAATTCGGCTGCCTGAAAGAGGAGAAGGGGGAAGAAGGGATATCAAAGAGCAAAAAGGGGGTGTTGGTAATGGTCTTTCAGCGGCCTTCTGGAACTAGCTAGCTGCTGCCAGAGCAGTAGCCCTGGCTACACACGCACACACGAGGGTCTTGCAGCCGCACAATAATGGTCCGAATGCCACTGGAACGTTACGGCAAGACCTAATTCCGCCGCCAGCCAGCCAGCCCTAGCGGTGCTCGCGCTCCCAATCAACCATCCTTCACCCATATCCACACACTTCTGTGCCGATAGGTGGTTACCGCGTAGACCAGGGGGTGGTAGTCTGAGTCATCGGCGGACAGCATCTAACCTCACGAAGCTTCCGAAGGTCACAAGACTCCATGCTGAATCTGTTACACTCAGCTCTCACAAGTCTGCGTGTATGTACCGTTGATAAGATCCCAGATCGTTCGTAGGAAAAATTGAGGTACTGGAATAAGCATACGAAAATAGGAAGCTCTGGTGTTATACGCTTCCTTTGACGCTTTTGCCAGTGTGATTATTCCAATTCGATAAACATACCGGTTTTTGCTGACACGGGTGGTGTATAGAGACTTATGAGGGTATAGTGTAGCCGCTGAGGTTGGGCTGGCGGCATATGACGGAACACAGACTGGTCTGCCATTGAATCGTACTGAGGAAGCACTTAGAGGAGTCCTTTGCCTGTTCTGGGGTGGTGCTGACGTTAAGCCACGATGCTCCAGCCAGTCACATCATCATCAGCATCCGAAGATCTTAGCCGTCCACTTCGTACGTCAGCACCACGAGGAACAAAACCTGATAAGGCAGTCTCGCAGGTCGATTTTACAGCATTTCTCCAATTGGCCAAGAATAGGTGCCGCTTGTCATCGTTATCTGCACGTGTGAAACTCGACATTTTGTCACGGCAAGTCCAAATTCGTAGAAGTTCCTGATAAAGCCTTGATTATATCTTGCTAAAGCGACTTGTGATACTATGTCAGCTCAGAAGACCGTCCTCAAGACATCGACACGAACGGCGTGGTCCGCATTGAGGCACCCCATCAATGGGCCGACCATCAAATATCCAACCCTACTGGAAAGATCTTGCGAGCACCTCGGTCACGAGTTCCATCTTGTTTCAGCAATCGTTCCAATATTCGCTGTTCCGCTCCGGGTTCCCGTCCTCGTCCATGTTGTCTGATGTCCGTAGAGGCGTCTTCAGCCGCCTGGGCTTGTTGATAGGCAGGAAACAGAGGACGCTCTGGTTTGGTCGCCGGGGCTTCGGGATGGATCGATTCGGCCGTGTTGCGAACCGACTCCGACTATCGTTGCTGGCGTACCGGAAGCCGCTGAAGGGTATAATGTTGCTACGGGCGGCCTGCCGACGAACCATATAGCTTAAGGCCGGGCGGATGGCATGTTCAGGTGGGATCTTGGACATCCGCCATTCCGACTCTTTCGATGACAGGGGCCACCGAACTCCAGAACACCTCATATACAGCTAGTCTTGTGGTCTGGAGGTACCGAGTGCCAGCTGCAGTCACCGCTCGACTGAGACGTCCAGCTTGCTGCTCAATGGCGCCGCGCACCTGTGAGATGGCGACCTGCAGCCGCTCAATTTGCTCGATGATGATTTCGTGCGTCTGCCGGAGCTCGGTGATGTTGCTATTGGCGTCTTGGATGGCATTTTCTATCTGACTGGTAGGCCGACGCAGTGTGTCCTGTATCTCCTGGAGATGGGTGATGATGTCATCGGTGTTGTTGATGGCATCTTCTATCTCACTGAGGGCCCAACTCATTGTGGTGTTCAAATGCTGTGTGCTGCTGAGCCCTAGTGCGATGTTCAGAAGCCTCTGTGTGTGTTCCGCGGGCACAAGTTCGTCCTGGATGGCCCAAGGCAACTCATCGCTCTGCTCGCCTGAGGATGGATCAGACTCAGCCATTGGTACGACTGATGTTGAGTAGACTAGTGGCCTGGATGAATAGTGCTGATGTGGTGGTAAGCTTGCGTACATGTATTTTGAGGGGTGTGCAGGAGATGGAGGTGACGGAACAGACACGTCTGAGCTCTGCACGTGCCTATGTCTGCCTGGATGGATAGCCACTTCGAGAGAAGGTGCCTTGCCTTGGGTGACTTGTACCTCTTTCCATTCATATCATGAACTTATGTTGGAACGGGAAACGGGAAACGGGTGCAGGACTTGCAAGTACTCCCATTACTATGGCTCACCTCATGTGACTGGCCACTTCCTTCTTTCAGACATCGAAACTGTGTATCTCAAGGTCCATAGCGGACCACGTCCATCCTCGTGGCCGGTCTTACATGGAGGTGAGGCCACCTTGATTGAACCTTATATGAGATGACCCTTAACGGCGGGGCCATATAAATGGGACACCCCCATATGTGGGACAGCTTTCACACCAAAAGGCTAGACTTCCACCCACCGATAACTCAATCGGAATTGAAGCTCTAGATAATTTATATAATGCGTTTAAATCGCCTATGTAAAAAGTGTTTAGCAATATTATATATTTTAGCGGTAGCACGCAGGCTTGCAGGTTGCGCAGCATAAAGATCGTATTATAATAGGCTTGTTAAATTCCTTATCCGTGCTATTACCTCTTTTATTAATAGCAATCCGTTTATCTTTAAAAGGCTTAATTTTTTTTTATAAATAACTTTAAAAAGGTTTAAGTATTAATCTCTTTGATTTATTAATATTTAAGTCTTATAACTTATATATAACTTTTTTTATACTATTTAATAACAGCTTGTACGGCCTTTATATACTTAATTCGTTTAAATAATGGTTTAAATTTTTTAAAGTCGTTAATTAAGCTTTTGTAAGGTGCTTCATGGCGTTTTTTAGCTATAAACGCTCGATTTTATCGTCTTTTACTTCTAATAATTTCCTTTTAAGCGTTAGTGACACACGTCACCAGGAGTGGTCGATGTGGTGGCTGGACAGACCCACTGTAACTAGCTAGATAGACTAGATAAAGGCTGCACACACTATAAGTTTGTGCAGCCTCTGCTCATTTGGCTTGGGTTCTTCAACTCTTACACACATACCAATATACACCTATACACACACGCTTCAGTTAGCTTAATTATCATTTTATTATAAACCTTTACAACTACGTAAACTACTACTTATTATTCAAAGATTTTAATAACTTATTATAATATTGAGGCTATATTTTACTTTAATTTTAAAGGCTTTTAATAGTTAAAAGGACTATTATAACTATTATTACTATTTAAACCTCTTTTATCTTTATTATATACCTATTTACTAGCGTTTTTTACTTATTTACCGGTTAAAGCCTAGTAACATGTTTTTTAAACGTATAATAATCGGCATAGCTTTATTGTAAGCTTTTACTAGATAAGAAAAGAACTTAATTTTTTTAATAAAAGCCGGATTATTAAGCTGGCTAAGCTAGGCGATTAAGCGGCGGTAAGCAGCTTTAATAACCGAGAAAACGGATAAACCTAACGGCTGGAAAATATAAGACTACCTGTATAAATAAAATAATTACTAGTTAATTATATAACCTATTATATAGGTAAGAAAAAAGCTTATTATTGAATCCATACGATTCCACATTCAAACCATCCATACCAAACCAACATGTACACTTGTCCCACATAAGTCTCCGTACGCTACCCCCAATTCAATCTTCTGACCAAAACATCAATGTGACACCCTCATCTTGCGATAATTCATAATCAAATCAGTTCGCCATAGATATTAACGAAATAGGTACCGTTTTGAGCGGCACTCACTAGACGAACGGCGAGTTTACTTTGGATGCGCGTGCAGGCATTATCACGGCGCGCGCGGAGGGCCGCAGCCATAGAGATGTCGCAAGCATCTACGGCAAGGAACGCATTGAAACCATCTCTGAAATTTGCTCGCGTGTCAACACTACCAAAACCACGCGCACTGTGATAGTTCCACCATCCATCAGGTCTAGCGATGGTCCCCATGGTCCCCGGGTCACGTGACTGAGCACGTGATTGATCGGACGATAGGTTGATCTATGCCACAGTGGGTCTGGTGGGGGATGACTGCCCACATCTAGCTGCCCACCAATTTGGGTACATCTCCAGATCTTTCTTTTCCTTCAACCAGAGTTCGTTATACGTCAATACACACACTCTTACCAAAAACAACTATTTTTCTTGGCGCCCCGCTGTTAGGGCGCAACCTCTATATCTGCACTAAAATAGTCATTTGTTTCAGTACCTGACTATCCTTGCCAAGGCGCAGAAAATTTTTCTCACAAGCTGGATGGCACCCTTCCACGACAGGCCCCCAAACACGCCAGTGGCCGTCCCAAAGACGACTATTGGCGGCGTGTTCAAATCCCCAGTCCCTAAAAGAACACATGACCCAGCAACCCCAAGCAGGCTCCGCCAGGCACTGCTTGACGACATCAACAGCAGCCCGTCACAGGTCTCTGAGGCTGACTTCACCACTGTTTCCCCTCTGAAAGGAAAATCCCGAAATATCAATAATAGCAGCACCATTGATATGGAATCACCTCAGTCAAGCGAAATCCTTACAGACCAAGTCATTAGAGGTGATGCAAGGAACAAAATCTCCTCTTCAGAGTGCCAGGACCAAGTTGCCAAAATACTGGCTAAAGACAAGCATCTCTATGAAGCCAGGATGACAATGTTTCAGGAGTGTGCTGCAGCAGTCGATAAGACACTTGAGAAAGCTGGAACCGAATTATACTCTCATGCCAAGGAGTTCAGCGCTTTCTTCACCAAATGTCTGAATGAGTGGCTGGAAACCCGAGATCTGACCACAAGAAAGGCCACTTCTGGGGGGATAGAAATAGGGAAGCCCACCATGACCTTCGCCCAAGCTGTCTCCTCTGGCCAACGACAGCATCCATGGACAGTCAACACTACCATGAAGAAAACACAGCCTAGTGCCCTCATCACTATCAACCAATTGAAGAGGAAGCAGGATGATCTCCGGGTCTTTGTCCGCATGGCCACCTTGAGCCTTATGGAATCAAGTCTACACTAAACAGAAGACTTAAGCTCCACCCTCAGGAGCTTAGAGAAGTGACACGTTGTCCTTCTGGTTTTACCTTACACCCAAGGGACAAGCCAACTCAGGCTAAGCTTCTGGCTTCCCAAGAAGAAATTGCCGACATTCTCAAGGCACAAAAGATTGAGACCCACACAGTCTGGCACCATTACAAGGTCGATGGATGCCCAAGGGTTCACAATCGATATTACGGACACTGCTGTTGCTGATGAAGTTGAATCTCAAACAGGCAACAGACCTTTGAGGTGCATACTCTCAAAGAACACGATTGATTCTGATCCAGAAACCACGTGGATAATCTCTCTGCCCAGTGCAGTAAAGAAACCATTCACGCTTTTTGCCCACTCAATGACCTCAAGGCATATTCAATACACCCCCAAGGTTCATCAGTGTGCAAGCTGCTTCAGATACCATGGTAGAAATTACCGATGCGAAAAGCAAGTATGTGCATACTGCGCCAACACAGTACACCAGGGAGAGTGCGAAAAACCAATCCCAAAATGTGTCAACTGCAAAGGACCTCATGCTGCCGACTTCAATAAATGCCCTGCTCGCCCCAAGGTTGTGAAAGGTACCATCCATAAGCACACATGGGAGCAAATCCAAGAAATAAGGCTAGCCGGAGAAAGAGCCAGATCCAAGGCCCTCAATAAAGCAGTCAGAAACCAAGCTGGGCCAACACCCAGTAATAATAACAAAGACATCACAATGCAAATCGACACAACAGATACAACTCATCCCAGAGATGCCGATACCATTATTGTCAGTCAATATTAGGTACACCAAACGAAACATATCGACACAGGCATCTAGTCATCCATTTTATGAACACAACAGGAGGACAAAAGAGTGCAGGCCCTATAGAGTTAGCCATCAACCTGACTGACTACAAAGGAGAACAAGCAGACATCATTCTGATGCAAGAGCCATGAGTCGGCATTCCACCATGCAAAAGAATGGGAGTAAAGACACACCCCAATTACAATATATACTCCCCAGTGGATTCCTGGGACAGCGACAGTACACGGCCCAGATCTCTCATCTATGTGAGAAAACACCTTTAAGCGGATCAACTTCGGCCCTATGTTACACGAGACATCACCTGGGTCAAGGTACAAGGCATTATATTTGCCAGTGTCTACCGGCCTTGTGACAACCCACAAGAAGTGGATGACATTCTGGAAGTATGGACTCCACCTTTTGGCTGCGTTATAGCTGGAGATTTTAATGCTGGCGACACATCCTGGGACTCAAGCAATCCAGGATATCATGGTGGTGCTATACTTGCACAAACTATGGCAGACCACGGACTGGATCTGATTTCTGAACCAGATGTCCCAACACATGATGACAGAAATGTACTAGATCTGGTGTTCTCCGATGTCCCTATGGCTGAAGCCTCAGTCAATGATGCACTTCAGTGCACCTCAGATTATGAGACATTACGAATAGCCATTCCAATCCAGGGAGATCTGGACCGAGTACCCAAGGCCAATCATTAGATAATACCGGACGATAAACTACAGGAGCTGGCAGATAATGTCCAAACCAGGATTCATGAACTCCCCCGGCTGGGTGTATCCCCTGGCCAGGTGGACACCTTTACACAAAGCCTGATCAATATGATCCAAGGCTGTATCAGGACAGTGGGCAAGAGGCCCCGTCAATCTAGGCCCACTGCTTGGTGGAATGATGACTGCAAAGCAGCTGTTCAGACATACAGGGCCCTTTCCAAACAGACTATAAGCCAAGAAGGACAGAATTCAGCCCGACAGGAATTTCGCGGCGTGGTTCGGAAAGCTAGGAGAGAGTACTGGCAGACTCTAATCAATTCAGCAACTGAGCCAAAGGACCTATACAGAATCGTCTCT